TTATGTTTGTGTGTGAATGTGAGAGTGTGTGAGAGAGGGAGAGAGAGGTGTTAAGCAATGGGAGGAGTGGTTAGTTACAAGACAGCAGCTGTGTGTGAAGACTAACCACAGTGATGAATTAGAGCCTGTTGATGAGACAAAGGTCAGCACCATGGCATTTTGGCTGAAGTCCATGATGACACAAGTGCTATTATTTCTCTGTGAAAGGCCAAATTGTCAGTCCTACCAGGAAATAACCAGCAAAGCTCTCTTTGATCAGGAACTAAATATATATACTTTAGGGCTATTAAGTGGTTCTGAAAGCTCTTCTGAAACTTCCACATAAACAGAGCAAACAGAACAGAAAATAAAAGCATAGGATAGTCTGATGTGTGTTTAAATTTCCAGAGCTCTTCAAATTTCAGGATGATCACTGGCTTAATTTGTCAAGCGCATGGCAGACTAAACTCTTCAACTGGCGCATGATGCTAAACTGGATTATCTCATTTGTCCATTTTTGTCTTTTTTCCCTTCAGTGGCTGAGTCTCTCTTCTTGCTCCTAAGCCGAGCCATGCCAGACTTACCCAGGTAGAATATAAGAACCGTCCAAATGGGCACAGACATGGCGCGCAGATAAACTTCCATACCCGGTGTCCACTTAAACACCACAGCCAGCACATAACCCACCACTAATGTTCCAACCTGGAAAAGAGACAGATTGAGAAGCTTTCAGTTCAGGATCTTATATACAGAAGTTTCAATTCCATTCAATACAAACCTGATATGGACAGTTTTGCATCCACACGAGCTATTAACTTTATTGTGAAAAGAGAAAATATGAAATACGATCAGATAAATGTGCATTAGTCCAGAAAATGATGGAAGATTTTTCTTTTCATCTCAATACTTTTCCAGGTCTGGAAATGCCTTCCTTTAAATTTCATACTTTTCCTGACCAAAGTCAAATTCATTCCCAAATTTGTATGTCTATTGTGCCAATGTATCCTATTTTCATGCAGAAAACTATAACTCAGTCAAAACAAGGAGTTTTTATTAAGTATATTCTGTTCTCTGGATAGAGTAATTGCATTATCTTAGACCTAATGCTATTTAACCGTTTCAGCATGCTATCACATGTTCAGCCTGTTGCGTAAATGAACACAGGAGCATTGCCCTGTAAATGGCTGACAAACTCAAATTTGTATGAACTTGATACACAACATTTGCAAAATACAACATTCTTGCTCTACAGAGAAGTAAATCATGTTCTGTGAAGATTGTTAGTCATCCAGATCACTGAGGGTAAACTATTACATACACTAAAAGACAGGCAGGCAGCTGCATTCGTGTTTCGGGTTCGTAATGCTCTACTGGCTTCATGCCGTGTTTCCTCTTAATACCAAACATGGTAAACAGAAACGTCTTACAAAGTACAAAACCACTAAACTTACACTACTGTCGTCTGTCCGTTAGTGTAGTTTGTACTTAAACAATGTGTGTTTAATCTGTCTAATTTAATTTCTCCTTCAAAGGCATTCTGGTGGGGAAAAAGGGATGAGTAAAGCTTGTTGAGTAAAGCATTACACCCACAACTGTATTTCACATTCTCCTTCTTAATCACCACTGATGATGTGTTACAGATATGGCAGTGAAGCAGGCTGAAAAATACAGTATCAGCTCACATGGAGATCAAATCTAGTGAGCGTTTCACTCTGTGTAATCACCTAACACGACTGTCGCTGCATATATCTACAGACTGGGCTAGAAAGAAATCAGTCCCAGCCTCATTTCTTCATACCATTCTGTGTGTTTTTCTTACAACCATTAGTAGTGCTGCTGGGCTTGGTTCTAAATCCAAAATAATCCAAATAATTCCATGTGAATGCCAACAAGGAACCTCACGTTGATGTCTTTTTATCTTTGAAAAGCAACGTTTAATGGGTACTGTATCGTCGTGGAAGGATGAGCAAACAGTATAATGTACAAAAGTATCGACACACTTATAGCACAAGTTCCTTTCTCTATATTAGTGTGTAGTATATCACTCCTGATTCTCCAATATCAGGAATAGTGAGAAAGGTGCTGATGCATCTGTGATGTTTGTCCGTGACAGAACAGCACAGCCTCCTTAGGGTACTGCATACGGATGTGAAGAGGTGGCAGATGTACCTTTTGTAAATACTGGAGTACTAAAAGCTTTGTATACTTAGGGAAAGGTCAGAGCCGAAACATATCTTGCCAGCACCAGAGAACCTTTTTAACCATTTGAATTCGATAGTCTAGTATATATAACTCTTTAAATACAGAATTCTCAGGTGTGGTCCAGTGAAGAGGTTTAAGACATATGGTGTACTTGAGACTCAGACTCGAGACTCTCGTACTTTATATTCAGACTTGAGTTTTGATTATTATGATTTGTGGTGCTGGTTCAGTGGTTAAGGCTCTGGGCTACTGGTCAGAAGATGCTGACAGTTCAAATCACAGAACAGCAAAGCTTCTAGTTACAGAGCCTTACCAGAGCCCTGAGTATGGGCTGATACTGATCCAGTACTGACATCCCAGTCTATAGAGTTTACACAGAACGGGGAGAAAAACAAAAACCATCCAGTGAGTGGCAGTTCTGCCTTGCTGATGATAGCGGTCAGAGGAGAATGGCTAGAGCAGGCAGGAAGGCTATGGTCACTCAATTAACCACTCTTTACAACCGTGGTGAGGAGAAAAGCATCTCAGAATTCAACACATACTGTACATGAACCTTGAGGTGTATGAGCTACAACAGCAGGAGGCCACATCGGCTTCCACTCCTGTTATCCAAGAACAGGAATCTGAGGCTACAGGAGGCACAAGCCCACCGAAACTGGACAGATGAAGATCATCGGCTAACTTAAAAAAAAAAAAAAAAAATTTATTTTAAAAAAAATTTCTGGCACCAACAACCATGCCACAGTCAAAGTCAGTGAGATCACATATTTTCGCCATTCTGATGTTCAAACATTAACTGAAGCTCTTGACCTGTATCTGCATGAGTCTGTGTTCACCTCATGATTGGTTGATTGGATAATGGCATGAATGAGCATGTGTTCAGGTGTTCCTAATAAAGTGGTCGGTGAATCACAGGGATTTAATTAAAAAAAAAAAAAAAAACAAAAAAAAAAACTATTAAAGACCACGGTATGGGCACCACGTTAGGAGAGTTTGATGAGGTTGGACAAATCGTGAGGACCCTGGCATGAGGGGTGTGTCACTCGCTACAGATCCACATATTCTCTCTCTCTCACTCACCCACAAAGCGCTGAAGCAGTCGAGCACGTGGCATATGACGTCACACAGGTGCTCGAGCACAGCCTGCATGCCGATGACGCTCCAGAACAGGTAGAGGAAATAGAGGAGAGGCGCACCGGCCCCGATCACCAGCAGCATCTTGAGGCGCTCGAGCAGCAGAGCTCCCAGAGTCTCCACACCGTGGTTCACACAGCGGACCGGCACGAGCAGTGTCCCCAGCACGATGGGCGTGCCGCTGGCCCGGAGCCCGCTGAGCCACGAGCGTCCCACGCGCGCCAGAGAGTGCTTGAACGGATGCAGGAAGGTTCCGCACAGCACGGCCCAGAGCAGCGGCCGCAGGAACGCCTCGAGGATGAAGTACACAAGCACCGCGGCGCCGCAGCAAATCGCCACGAAGATCATGGCGCCAGTGTTGTAGAAGGCCTGCTTGATGTTCTTGTCAAACTTCAGAGACGGCTGTTGACCCAGCAGATGGCCAACCACACCGACTGCGGGCTGCCCCGACTCCCCAAACGACACCCGGGGAGCGCGAGCCACACGAGCGGCGGGAGTCACCGGATCCCCGTCCAGATCCGGACCCTCCGCTTCTGCCATGTTCTCTGCTCTTCTCTGCCCTACACTACACTCCTGCCTGCTCTGCACCGTAAAAACGCTTGAGGATTTGCGGACGTAGGAAAAATGTGACGTAGCTTGTTGCGAGCACACTGGGTAATGTAGTGTCAGGCTATTAGGCTGCACGTGACTCTGGAGTCGACTCTTTGATCCGGCTCTTCTGAGTGAACGCTGATAACATGTAAAAAGTGTAATGGGGAGACAAGATAAACACAGCAGGCACAATGGCATTAATACTGTATTTACTTACTTACTGTATTTTTAATGCACACTTTTAGTACATTGCAGATTTAACAAAATACATTTTATTAAACGCACTTTATTTTGTTAATTATAAAGTGGGGGAGCATGGTGCCTTAGCACTGTTGCCTCTCAGCTCTGGGGTGGAGGGTTCGATTCCTGCCACCACCCTGCGTGCACAGAGCCTGCATGCTCTCCCTGGGGGGTTTCCTCTGGGTACCCTGGTTTCCTCCCCCAGTCCAAAGACATGCATTGCAGGCTGACTGACATCTCTAAATTGTCCTGACTGTGTGTGCAGTTGTGCCCTGTGATGGGTTGGCACCCTGTCCCAGGTGTCCCCCACCCTGTGTCCCAAGTCCCCTGGGAGTAGGATAAGCGGTACAGAAAATGGATGGATGTTAATTATAAAGTAAATTCTGTATTTTCAGTCAGGCAAAGAACAACAATCACTGGTCATTTTTGCAAAAAAAAACCCCAACACAAACAAATAAATAAAATGAAGCAATGAGTCGTGTGGGAGCTGAAAGAGTCGGCTCTTGTTGGTGAGCAGAGCCAAGTAAGCTGAATAACAGGAATTCCTATCACTCATGCAACACCAGGAAATTTCACTACCAAATCAGCAGCCGGGAAAATGTAGGCCACCAAACGTCTTCTGACCAAGACCACACCCATGACTAGAACAGACCATTTAAACTGGATTTAAAAGCAACTCTATTTGTATACAAAGCAAAAGAAATGTATCACAATGTTTATCTTGCCATTTTCCATGGCTACATGGTTAGCACAGAGTGGTGAAATATAATTGTGGGGTTTGGTAGCCAATGACAAGGAAATAGTGATTGTACTACATTGCAACAGCTTTAAAATAACAAATCACATTAATAGGGGGCATGATGGCTTAGTGGTTAGCATTTGCCTTGCGCCTCCAGGGCTGGGGGTTCGAGTCCCATCTCTGCCCCGTGTGCAGGGCTTTCCTCCAGGTCCTCCGGTTTCCTCCCCCAGTCCAAAGACATGCATTGTAGGCTGATTGGCCTTTCCAAATTGTCTGTGGTGTGTGAATGTGAATGTGTATGTGAATTGTGCCCTGTGATGGGCTGGCACTCTGTCCAGCGTGTCCCCTGCCTTGTGCCCCAAGTCCCCTGGGATAGGCTCCAGGTTACCCCCAGCCCTGTGCAGGATAAGCGGTACAGAAAATGGATGGAAATCACAGTAATATAGCCACCTCTATGGTAATAATAAATTCTACCACTGGTCAGGTTTCTGGTTTATTATAAGATGTTGATTAAATTTCTATAAAAGCAGATCTGAGGGTCATGCTGGCTGTAATTAAAATCACAGGTCGATATTAATGCGCTGCTTGTAATACGTTATTGTTTCTATAGTAACAGCTAATTCACAAGGACTTATATGGTTGTATGGTGGATGACTCGCATAGTCTAAGACTAAGGATAAACAACTTTAAAAATGTGTTATTTGACAAATAAAAACATATTTATTGAAGCTTGGAGAGGTTTATATAACATTTATGGAAGGAGTCTTCAGTGTCAGTCTTTTGTTATTATCATAGGTAAATTTGTAACATTTAAGTTTTCCACCAAGGAAAAGTTTTCAGAATGGAGGGCTTTGTAGTTTCTACCATTTTTTTTGGTTTATTTATTAACAAAAAGAGAGAAAAAAAGGGGGAGGCTGGCGAGGGAATGACTGTGTATAGCTGTTATAATGTAAGAAATAACCAGAATTAACTTTAAACCTGTTCCACAACATTAAATATAACTATAAGTGTTTGAAATGTACAATATGTTGTTCAAAAAATAACACAATCAACAATTTGGGGTGTGCTGTGTGAGGAAAATAATCAACTTCGTGTGGTAACAGTAACTCAGGCCGCATCACATCACCCCGTCTTGGATTAGTTTCCTATAACATCATACACTTTTTTTTTTGCTTACTTAATCCAATTTAGTCCATAACATGATGAACAAACAACCAGCGAGGGCTACACTGTTTATTAATGAGATATCAATAACAGATAAACACTGATTTAGTAAATGCAAAACAAGTTTTCTAAAGTTTATGTGGAATATAAATACTGCTCCAATTTTATGTCAAAATAGCACATAAAAAAGACGCCCTAGTGGAGCCCTGTGTCTGTGGAATGGCTCAGAAAACACTGGTTTGCTGGCATGCTTCAGCTAGTTCGGAGTTGCTAATAGCTAATACTACTGCTGCGATGCTAGAGCGTTGTGGTCGTAAGTGCGAACATGGGTTTAAAGTCGTTAGAATGTGTTATTTCAACAGATAAGACATCGCTTCAGTCATACTATAATATTATATTTTAGAGAACTTCAGTGTGTTACCCAGACATTATCCTAGACATTTGTGTTATAGTGCAGAATAGTTGCTTCTGATTTTTTTTTGTCAAGAGTTGCTGACACGGTTATTTACTGCAGCGCCTCCTAGTGACACTGGGAGCAAAATATCACTTGGTGTGTGATGCTACTGGCACTTGCATGTATTTGGCACTTGATTTGTCAAGCCGTGAATAAATACAGAACATATCAGCAATACTGGAGATGCATGTGATGAAAAAGCTAAGGCATTTCATCTATATGGCCTCTGAGCTTGATGAATAATATGCTCTATAGTAATACAGCCTTCTTCCTAGAACTGTATCTGTACTGCATACATCTAGCCTGCTGCAGATGATTAGCTGTTCCTGTTATTTCAATACACAGCTTGGTTTTTATTTTGATTATTCTCCAACACTGTTTTATTGCTGCCTGTCTCTAATGCTGTTAAGTCGTAATAATCCCTGCCTGTTTTCACGGTGAAATCGTGTTTCCCCACTAGTAGGTCGTCCTGGCTATGGGCTTCCCATGAGCAGGTAGAATGTGAGGGCCACAATGAGCAGGAGGCAGAACGGGGATGAAAACGTCTGGTAGGCTGTAGCGGGCATGAAAATGTCCTCATATTTATAAATGCTGATCATGTGATCAGACACTGGGGGTGTGTCAATGTCGTGCCTTGTTATGGAACCTGGGGAAAAAATAAAGACAGGAATGTTAGCTCAGATAGCAATGTGGTAATGTTACATACTGAAAAAAAAAAAAAGACATAAATTGTGACAATTCTGTGTGGAGTGGAGTAATGTCTGAGTAATGCCACTTTAATAGGAACACCTACCCACCTGCTCAATGCATTAAATCATGCAGATACAGAGCTTCAGCTAATGTTCACATCAAACATCAGAATGGGGAAAAAGTGCGATCTCAGTGACTATAACCATGGTCTGATTGTTGGAAGCAGAAGGGCTGGTATGAGAAATTCTCTCGTGAGAATTTCACACACAACAGTCACTAGAGTTTACACAGAAGCCTTGTTGATAAGAGAGGAAAATGGCCAGATTGGTTCGAGCTGCCAGGAAAGATATAGTAACTCATATAATCACTCTTTACAACTGTGGTGAGCATAAAAGCATCTCAGCATGCACAAAACATCAAACCTTAGGCTGTCATGGGCACAGGCATCACCCAAACTGGACAGTTGAAGACTCCTGGTCTTCTTCCAGTCTTCAACTGTCCAGTTTCGGTGAGTCTGTGCCCATGATAGCCTCAGATTCCTATTCTTGCCTGACAGGAGTGGAATCTGATGTGGTATTCTGCTGTTGTAGCTGCTGTAAATTGGAGGCACACAATTCAGTTTTTTTTTAATTTTTTTTAGAAAGCTTGCCAGAAAGGTTCACATAGCATCTGGTTGGGAGTAGAGGTGTGCATTGAGACAGGGATCCCATGGGATACAACAAAACAGTCGGGCAAGCTGGAAGTACCTACTGTCATGCAGGTGCCTCAGATATGAAGCTTGAGGCATTGCATGATGCATTTATAGATTTGATTCATTCATTCTTAGTAACTGCCTGGTCAGAGTCATGGGGGTTTAAATTGGGCTACTATATATGCTAGAAAATATTGTGAGAAGGTACAAACAAAAATAATATCTGCATGAACCCTGGTCAGCCCTGGCCACAACAATTATGAACTTGAGTGATGTAGTTGAAGAATTGTAAGATATACAGATTTTACAGACCAAGAAAGAAAGAAACATACTGACATACATACAAACCTACCATTCCAATTTAGGCCACACCCACTTTTTATTTAAATCACATACCATCTGGTTGAGAGTAGAGTGTTGAGAGTAGAGGTGTGCATTGAGCCAGGGATCCCATGGGACACAACATGCCATACTAAACAGATACAGATCAAGGCAATGTGTTACAACACTAATACACACATACCTTGTATAGCAGGTCCCCAGGCAAACAGGTAGTACCAGCTGAGATGCAGGTCCACCAGCGTTTCCTCACGTGGCACATGAAGCGGGCGCTTGAAGCGACAAGTCACCCGATTGTTCTCGAAGAGGCCCTCCTCATCCCGCGCTGGGTTTCGCCTGATCTCTTTGGCCCATTGGCCCACGTTGTAGAAATGATGGATCCTCACCCGCCCGTTATCATCGTGTACGCAGCCCATGACATCATCACCTCCCTGGGAGAGGGATAACAGATTATGACCATGACTTTTCTTTAATGCGTATATATTTTATACGGGAACATAGACACGTGAAGGTTCTGCAATTAAATGGTAACATTATGGGTTATCTAAACTGTAACAATACATAACTGGAAGATTTTACAAGACTGTATGTGTGTGTATGTGTGTGTGTTAGATGATATGGGTGGATCTTTATGCCAAACATAGCTCATGGTAAACCCACTTTCATGAAATCATTAAAACATATTGAATAGCATTCTTGGTTGCTTCTGAAATATCCGCCCTTGCTTATCTCAGATCCACATTTTTGAATTTGCTTTCTTTTATAATTACCATTTTCTTGTCAGAAGAAAAGCCGACAGCAACCCAGCCATCTGTGTCTGCACTCATCTCAAACTCAACATCTGTACCGATGCGCCTGTAACTGAGGAAATATTCGCATGTTTCTGCATCACAGCCCGGCTTTCCATACCTATATACACACACGCACACACACACACACATATAGACAGAGATAAAGAGACATATACATTGCTTTTAGGAACCTCAACATTTTGTTTATATTTATTGCTCGTATTACTGTTTGTAGCTGGACTAAGCCAAGTTCCCCTTGTGCCACAGCGATTTGACAGTGAATATAATTTTTAATGTATTAATGAATGACACTTTGTACATTTTATCCATTTACAGTTACATTTCATGTTGGAGAAAGTCCACAAAACCAGTTAGCCATAAAGTATGTGGAGCAACTGCCATACATTATAATGTATTGTAATGACCACATTAATATAAAAACTTTACAGCTGGAACTACTGTCAGAGCTGCTGTTATAGAAGAATAATCAACATCTTCTGACCAATCAGAATCAGGAATTCAAGGATGCCATGGTATAAGTATGTTCTAATGCATAGCATATCAGTATATTGAATATTAAGCTTTAAGCTCACCTGATACAACCTTTTGTTACTCCACAATCGCTGACTTTGATGCGGGCAAAAGGGTCAACGGGTGGTGCGGTTGGGAAGGGATAACCTGGGTGACACAAATCAAAGACAAAGACCTGTTTCATTCACTGTATAAGAGTGATTAACAGAAACAGAATAGAAAATAGACAGTCGTGGTTTCCATGTATATATGAAAATGGAGTTCACTGCAATATGTCTGGCAGCAGAGATGTGCACTATATGGGCAAAAGTATGTGGACTCCTGACCATCACACCCAGCATGTGCATGTTCAACATCCCATTCCAAAGTTGGTCACTGCTTTGCTGCTGTAACAACCTCCACTCTTCTAGGAAGGCTTTCCTCTAGATTTTGGAGCATGGCTGTAGGGATTTGCTCACTCAGCCACAAGAGTGTTAGTGAGGTCAGGCACTGATGTCAGGTGAGGAGGTCTGGGGTGCAGTCAGTG